GAAGGTGCGCAGGCTGTATATCATGATGGGGGTACCTGGGGGCTGCATTGCCAGCCAGAGGGATGGAGTGCCTGAAGCTCCCAAAGGTTCCCAACCTGCTGGGCTGAGTGTGCCCAGATGATTTTGCCCAACTGTCCTTTCTCCTGAGCAACAAGCTCTGTGCAATCCTTGCCCCTTTAGCAGCCCTCTCGCTGTTGTGAAGTCTCTCAGAGTGCCTGCCTTTCTTTTGTCCCAGAGTGGTCCATTGTGTGTACCTATTCTCCACAAGTGGCTGAAATCTCAGTCTCTGAGTATTCTACCTGTCTTAACTTTCCAACCCCACTAATCTCAAGAGCACCATGTAATGTAGGTTCATGCACCCAGAGCAGAACGCCAGGGCTGGGTGTTCAGCAGTCCTAGGCCTCCACTCCACCCTGCTCTGTTTCTCTTCCTCCCGTCTGTGAACTGGAGTGGGGGAAGGGCTTGGGTCCCACTGGATTGCACTTTGCTACTTTACCCTCTTTGGTGAGGTTTCTCTTTCCCCAGATGTAGGCAGTCTGTTGCAGTCTTCTTTCCTGTCTCTCTTTCAGGATTAGTTGTATATGCTGTATTTTTATAGTATTTGTGGTTTTGGGAGGAGGTTTCTGTCTGGTTTCTCATGCCACCATCTTTAAGCCCCTCTCCAAGGTCAGTTAATTTTTAAGATGCTTCCTGGGTCATATATTAAATTCTGATACACCTGAAGGACTCTTTCTGGGCTGCTCATTTTGTCTCATTGATTGATCTGTCTCTAAATACTTGTGCTAATTCTATATTCCTAAATTTTTTAGATTTCACTTTTAACCAATGCCCAGTAATTTCAGAGAGGATTCTTTTTTTTATTAAGGTATCATTGATATACAATCTTATGAAGGTTTCACACAAGCAACATTGTGGTTACAGCATTCACCCATATTATCAAGTCCTCCCACATACCCATTGCAGTCACTGTCCATCGGCATAGTAAGATGCTATAGAGTCATTACTTGTCTTCTCTGTGCTATACTACTTTCCCCATGACCTGCGTATATTGTATGTGTTAATTATACTGCCCCTTAATCCCCTTCTCCCTCCCTTCGCAACCCCTTCCCTTTGGTAACCACTAGTCCCTTCTCAGAGTCTGTGAGTCTGCTGCTGTTTTGTTCCTTCAGTTTTGCTTTGATGTTATACTCCACGAATGAGTGGAATCATTTGGTACTTGTCTTTCTCCACTTGGCTTATTTCACTGAGCATAATACCCTCTAGCTGCATCCATGTTGTTGCAAATGGTAAGATTTGTTTTCTTTAGAAAGGATTCTTAAAAAATAAGAATTAGGTTTCATAATATAAACATTTTGCTATCACACTCAGGCCTCTTCCAGTGTGAGATGATTTTCTTGAATTGATCATTTCTTTGACACTAATTACAGCCCTTTCCTGACCTTGGAAGCATGGGAAAAGCAGGTCTTTGCTTACTTGCTTTTACAGTAAGAACTGAAGACATCCATCTCAACTTTAACAAATAACTCTTCACCTGCTTTAAGAATTGCCTTCTAAGAAACTGAATGGCAGAGAGACAGGAGAAAACAGTTTGTTTTCACTATATAACCTTCTCTGTCATCCACATGTATTACTTGCTCAAAAGAATGATTAAAATAATTTTTAACAGTTATCCTTGAAAAGGGAGAGCATATATATGTATTCCTTTGATTGCTGCTGAGAACCTTTTTCAAGGGAAGAGAAGGTTTTATGTTTTTCTGTCTTGAATGTGATCACTAGAACCAGATTTGGTCCAAAATGGTAGTGATTTGTTCACCTTTTTGCTCCCGCAACAGGTGTGTTGCCATCAGACTGATTACTGGCAATTTGTGAAAGACATCCGCTGGCTCAGTCCCCACTCAGCCCTTCATGTGGAAAAGGTAAGAAGTGAAGGTAACCACAAGGCTTCATTGTTTGATGTCCCGTCTGAAGAGTTTCCTGTATGGAAAGGATGGTGTGTATACAGTTTCCCATTAACTGAGGAGAGGAAATTATCCCTGTAGGACTGATTTGATGGGGAGGATTGTTTGCTTTAAAAAAATAAACCTTGCAAACCCTTTGCTCCAGGCCATGTTCTCTTCTCTGGGGAAGGGGTGAAAAAGTATTGCTGATGACTACTTTGGAAGAGGATACACCAGTCAGAAAGAAATGTGAGGTTTCTGAAGGCCAGTGTTGGCTACCAGGGTAGCCCTCTGCAGTGTCCCCTGTCCTCACAGCTCAGCATAGTGCCCCTGACGGCCATTCGGGGAAACAGAACTCGAGAAGGTTGGATGAACTGGCCAAAGTTACACAGCTAGTTCCAGATCAATCATTGCCAAGTTTATGTATCTATTTGTTTAACTATTATGGAAAATTTTATATGTACAAAAGGAAAGAGAATAGTGTAATGAATCCTGAAATAGCCATCACCCATCTTCAGTACATGCTGACACATGGCATGTATATCCCACCCACTGCTAGATTCATTGTTGGAGGATGTCAGGTGAAGTAATTTGTTTCTAAATGATCCAGGAACCAAACCACAAGGTGTCAGACTGGCTTTAGGCCAGAGCCCAGTGGTTTTCTTATGTAGATTTGCTTTGTCCTCACTTGATTTTTCCCACCAAACTCCCCTCTACTTCCTTTTCTAAAATATTGCTGTAGTCATTTCCTCTTAGGAATTGCCTGGAATTGCCATCCATGCATTTTTTGTGCTGTAGCTGGTCTGTGAGACCTTGCTTTTAGAAGCAGCCAAGTAGAAAGAGGTTCCAAATATAGAATTCTGTGACTAAAGCTAGAGGTGGTTTCTCTTTGGTGGAGAGTCTTTGTTAGTATTTTTCCTAGATCCTTTCCTCCAGGTTTTCATTACAATCTTTTCTGGAGGCCACCTGAAGTAGAGGACTCTGTGAGAGAAGTCAAGAGGTTGAGTTTATTCTTCCTCTATTACCTCAGAACAGACCCCTCTTTGGAGTTAGAACGTAGAAGTGGCAGCTCTGTCCTCTCCTGGAGCTACCTATCAGGTCTTAGCTATTCAGCCTGTCTCCAGTGGCCCAATCCAGCAGCAGACCCATGCATCCCTCCCTTCCTTCTCTTTTCTCAGTAACCTGTAAATGCGAGCCAGAGGAAAAATATCCATGATTGCCTCTCCTCATGTGTCTCAGTTTAGTTCTCAGGTCATTATTTGCCAGGATGTGTTTTGATTCCTGCCTCTTTACCCTGCAGTTCATCAGCTTGCACGAGAATGGCCAGAATGGCAGTGATGGCGTGAGTGAGCGAGCTGTGGCAGAGCTGTGGCTGCAGCACAGCCTGCAGAGCCACTGTCTCTCAGCCCAGCTCCGACCTCTGCTTGGGGACAGACAGTATATCAGGAAATTCTACACAGGTAGGTAGAAGATTGTGGCATCTGCTTCCTCGTTCTCATGCACTCTGTTCTTCCTGTCTAGACTGTGTCTTACCCGAGAACCTCATACTTAGATTTGACACCATAGAAATTCTGATCAAGAACATATACCCAGTGTTTTCTCTTACCTCCTACTTGTAACACAGTCACACTGTATGCCGAGGTGTTCCTCTACTCCCATGCACACAAGCCAAAAGAATAACTACCATTTACTGAGACATTCCTTTGTGCCAATCACTGTTACGTACTTTTTTGCACATGCTTTTCCCAACAGCCCTCAGAGTTGTGTATTAATACCCCTGTTTTCCAGTCAGGGAAGTAAAGCCCAAGGAGGTTAGGTGGCTTGGCCAAAGTCACCTAGAGCCAAAATTCAAATCTGGGACTTTCTGGCTTTGAAGCCTGTTGTCATCCCCTCTCTACTATGCTGCATATTACTTAGTCTTTATTTATTACTTTATTCATCCCTGATTCCCCTTCTCTTCACAGTGGCATGATTCTCCTAAAGTCATTTGTACCTTTTCCCTTTCTCCTTCCCTAAGCTTCTCCCAGGGCTGTACAGGGAAGCTAAAGGTCTCCATATTAGGCTTCATCACCAGGGTAGCTTTTTTCTCCCCAGATACTGCTTTCCTGCTAAGCAACGCCCATGTCACGGCCATGCTGCAATGCCTGGAAGCAGTGGAACAGAACAACCCCCGCCTCCTGGCTCAGATTGATGCTTCTATGGTAAAGGGGGCAGGGCATCATCTGTGTCTATGTTGGGCTCTGGACCTCATCATGATGCAACTCTCTGTGGCAAACTACTTCTTTACTTAGGCAGTTGTGAAATGAAAGGCTTTCAAAAAAATAAATAATACTTGGAGAAGAAAGGAAGGTACTGTTAAGTGTAAGATAAATTCTAGCCAAAATAAACAGGCGACGAGTGGCAACAAAGGGGCAGGCAGTTTATTTGAGCGCAATTCCCAGGTGATGTTCCTTGGTCTGAAACACAGGCTGGGAAGTCACAGCCAGTCAGGGAGGTGGGGGCTTATAAGGGATTAGGAGGAGGAGGAGTGGGCAAGCTATCTTAGGGGGTGTGGAGAGGTATGATTGGCTAAAGGTGGCATGATAGACAACTAGAAACTTTTTTTCCTTCCAAGAGGGAGGAGGCTGACATCCGGGTCTTAGTTGGCACATCAGAAGGATGGAATTCAGGAAGAGCTGTCCCCTTTCCGTATAAGGCACAGACCTTGGGGTCTGGTCTGTTCTCCTTTTATGGTATCTCTCTGTTCTGTTTGCATGTCCTTGTTTTTCCTTCCTACAGCCTAACATTAAGTACCTATGGAATTAAAAAGTCTAAGCTTAGGTCTTTATGAGGCAGAAGTTGTCTATTTTTTAAACCCTTTTTTAAAATTCTTAGTCTGACTAAGCACCTCCTTAAGGACAGGCTTAACAAAGAGCTGGGAAGAAGAAGGATGATTTTGAACAAGGAGTAGGATCTACAGTGTCAGACCTACTAGGGCCAGTGTTAACAATAGGATCATTTTTGTCCTTGAAATATAAAGAAAATTTTGTTGTTTGATGTTGCTTATTGTTAACTCCCCAGTTCAGTCACCCCATCACTGATATCAGTGTCTCAGCCAGAATGGAATCACAGTCCCTACTCCTTTTAGGGAGGGGTCCCATATCTCTCTTGGTTTTTAAATTTTGATTCTTCATTACACATCATTGAATACTATGTGCCAGGCATGATGCTGTGCACAACACACATGTCATCTCATTTAATCCTCACAACTCTATAAGGTGTCTACCTTAATCTCATTTTAATTAATTAATATCTACATTAATCTCATTTTATAAAGAAGGCCACTGAAGGACTGAGTTGATAAGTTACTTGCCCAAAGTTTGGACCAAATGGTATGTACGTGATAGAGCCTGGGTTTAAACTGATCTGATTTCTGACTCCAGGTGCATGGTCTTAAACATATTGTACTGCCTCCATGATAAAGCATCTGGTTTACTACCTAGGACTGCAGTGGCAGAAGCTGTGGTGTGTGGCAGGACTTCGAGGTTTCAGAGTTGTACATTCTAATAGAGCAGTTGAGTTGTATGTTGTATTTACAGGTTCTCGTTGCAGGCCAGCTTCTATTAGCATTCTGTAGTGCTGCATGCCCCTCCTGGGAGGGTCTCTGTCCTTGTCTCTGACACGTTTTCTTTTTTTTTTTGTAGTTTGCCGGAAAGCATGGGAGCCCACTGCTGGTGACAAAGAGCCAGAGCTTGACTGCTCTGCCTGGTTCCACACATGCCCCTCCAACCAACTACACTGAGCATTCCTACTTTGGGTCCTCTAGTCTCCACCAGTATGCAACCAGCCACAGCTCAGGTATGGGGGCCGGAGGGGATAGTCATGACATGAATCCCCAGCCCTGGAAAGGAGAGAATTTTTGTGCATGCTCACCGGCTGGGTATAGATAGGACTTTGGGTTGGTGCAGTTTGTCAAATTTCATGTCTTAATAATGGACATCTTAAAAAGTTACATAGCCATCTAGCCTAAGATAATTCAATAGCATCATTAAAGTAATAGGAAAGAGATATTTTTAGATTCCCCTGGGCTTCTAATCCTTATTGCCAAGAAGGCATTTCAGTAATAATAGCCAAAATTTATTGAGTGCCTACTAGGTTCCAGACTCTGTTATAATCAATTTGTAAGTGTTATGTAATTTGATCCTCAAAACAGTCCAGTGAGGTAGGTGTTACTGCTCCTTTTCCAGGTGAAGAGTGCATAGTAATAAGCATTGAAGCCACTCCCAAGAGCCCATGCTCTTGGCTTAGCTGCTTCTAAGTAATTTTTTATTTACCTCAAAATGACTTACCTTTTCTGAGGTGACACCAGGTGTCCTGATGATAGGGAGAAATGATAGGGAGTTTGGTCCTTAGTTGTGGAGAAGCCTTTCCTATGTACAAAAACTGCCAGCTCACCTTTCCCATCTCTTCCTTTTTATATCCTAGAAAAAAGATCTACATTTTCACTCACTGACCCTCCCTGGAAACCTCAAGAAAACACAGGACACATCTCACAAGGAGAGAATCAAACCATCGAAGCCCCCCTGCTTCCAATCTCTGCATTAGCCAGAGATTTGTCCTCGATGCCAGATGAGATGAGCTCTAGCACTCTGACCAGTCCCATAGAAGTGTCCTGGGGCAGCAGCCAAAATGATCCCCCAAGCAATGCCAGTGAAGGACCTGAGTACTTGGCCATTGGCAACTTGGACCCCCAAAGCCGGACCGCCAGCTGTCAGAGTCCCAGCAGCAATGCTGAGAGCAGCAGCTCCAACTTATTCTCCTCTGGTAGCTCCCAGAAACCAGATTCTGCTGCTTCTTCCCTAGAGGAACAGGAGGGAGCTGGGCAGTGCCAGCAGTCCAGTGTCCTTCGTAGGTCCAGCTTCTCAGAGGGGCAGACACTCACTGTCCCTAATGGAACAAAGAAGAGTCATACTCGCTCCCATTCAGATACCAGCATTGCTTCGAGAGGAGCCCCAGGTAATGATGATCACCAGCCTCTAGTTAGTAAGGTGGTCCCCTGAATTAGGGTGGAAGGGAAAGTTTGTTCTTAAGGGTTGTCAAGTGGCAGAAAGAGAAGGTATGTTTCTGATGACGTGATGGGTACCTTGCTTATAATGAAAGAGATTTTAATGTAACACAGTTACCCAGGAAATCTCTCTGAGCATATTTATGTTTGTTCCTTTATACATTGCTAAATAGTAAATGCTTTCCTGGATATTTTCACTGGTTCCTTAGCGTCAGAGGATAGCATGACTCCTCACAGTTTGAGTTTTAAATGTGTTATCTCAGGCAAATGGAGAATACTAATGAATTTTTCAAATAATCCCATTAGTCTCCTACCCTTCCTGTGATTCCTGATAAGTTTGGTTAGGATGTAATACCAATATGAGAGAGGCAAAGTGAATGAGGGTTTCCTTATGAAAACTAGGGATATAGTGAGTATGGGGTCATGTGACCTAGTAAACAAGTAGTTGGGGCTGACTGCTACATCACTAAATTCAGGTTGGAAGCAGTCAGGTAAGGAGGCCTTGGCCACCAGGACCTCCCTCACACAAGCACTACGTGCCAGCAGAGAGCACCCCCGGCATGGGAAGGGCAGATCTCGTTGTTGTTGCCATCTCCCTGTCATCATCTGTCCTGGGTTGTCAGTATCTGTCAGGCTTTGGTTAGGTTCATTTGTAGGAGAATCTTCATAACAGCAAGTATAACATGGACCTTTTTGCTCAAAGCCAGTTCTGGGTGGGAAAGTCCCAGAAATAAAATACAAAACTGAAAATTTAAAAACTTAAAAAAAAAACAAAAAAGGAGGATTTCCTTTAACAACTGGAGCTGCCATTAATTTCCCTTTGTAGTTTGTAGAAAGGTGAGAACTAAGACCCTCATCTGAAATTTCTGAATGACAAACTTTTATCTGTTTTCCACTCAAGACTATGGTTTGGTTTATTGGAACTCTAGGAAAAATGTCTCCAAGTCAAAGCCTGTCTTCCCAAAAGCTCTCTTAGATGTGAAGAGTGCTTGGGTTGGACATCACTTCACATCTCCTGCTGCAGGCCTGGTGTCCACTGTACTCCAGCCACTAGTCTTTGAACATGTAAAACTTCCCTGCCCCCATTCTTGGGTCCACATGGATTCCAGAAACCATGGTAACCTGCATTGGAAAAGGGAGCCAGCAGAAACTTAAGCAGAAGGGTCTGAGGGAGTGGAGGTCATGTGTAGCTTTCTGTACAAGTCAGCTACTAGGGTTCAGTAGTACACTACTTAACCACTAGGGTTCCCTCTCAAGAGTGAAGTCCTTACCTCAGCTAGGAAAAAGGACACTCTTTCTCACTCTATTCTCATTTCCTCTGTGTGGATTGTCCTCTGCACCTGTCTGTCTATGTACAGGAGGCCCCAGGAATATCACCATTATAGTTGAAGATCCCATTGCAGGTTTGGGAGCCAGTCCTCCTTTCTGCCTACCCCCTCCTCCCTTGCCCCTCTAATGACCATCTTGCTTGATTCATAGCCTCCTCTTCCATTCTGGTGTCAAATCAAGTCTGGCTAGTCTCATCCTACTGTGATGCTTGGACCTGTCCATAATATGGCACCAGGATTTCACATGTGTGTTTTCTGCCCATGACTTCCAAATGCCTCAGTTAGTCTCCCAAAAGCTTCTAGGAGGCAGAGTCAGGACTTACCAATCCTCTTCTGCCCAAAGGTGAGACGGGGGCCCACTCTTTGCCTAAGGCACCATGATGAATCAGTAGCAGAATTTTTCTTATAACTGAGGACTTACCGTGGATTACTTTATTTCCCTTGAATTAACACCAGAATGTGTTTTCTCCCTTTTCTGTGGTATTGGATGTAGATGCATGTTTTTGCCTATTCTAGAGCCCTATTTCTTTTTTCTTTCATCAATTGTCCTTCCCTTATAAGTTTCTCCCCCACCCCCAATTCTAGCCCATTACACAGGCTTTTTCTAGTGATAAGTCTGTTTCTTTGGATTTCATTGTCACGTTCAAACTGATATTGTGTTCCATTCTGGGTACCATAACTCATGGAGATACTAACACTAGAATGTGTCTGCAAGAGAGAGTGGTGAGAGAGGACGGAAAACCTTGGCCTCTTGGGTTTGGGTGAAGCCATTGGGTATGATAGCTTGGAAAAGGTAAGGTTACAGAGGAATGAGTCTATGGGACCATCATTTGGAAAAGTGTGGTTGTTGTTAAGGAGATGAGAGACTGTAGGAAGACAGATTCAAAGTGAGTGAGGAAATTCTAAGAATTAGAGTGGCCCAGGGAAATGGGCAGCATCAGGAGGCAGTGACCTCAGTAAGCAAAGGCTGGTAGCCCTTACCCTGTCAGGGAATAGGAGCTTGTGCTGTAGTTGGTCTGACTGAGGGCCTTAAAGGGCCCTTCCAAGTCATGGTTTCTTACCAAGGCATCATGGTGACTGCTGGTTTGTCTCAGTTCAGTACTGAGGAGCAGAGCCCACTGCCAGGACCACTAGAAATCTTTTGAGGTCCAAGAAGAGTACAAAGTTATCTCTTCTCACATAGTAGTATTTTTTGGTGAGAGGAGCAGCTGATTAGTTGACACCAACCTACAGGTGAATGAGTTGGATGCAGTCATTCTTTCTCCCAGAGTACCATGCTCATTTCTCAGGTACCCACCTGGCTGCTCTGCCTGCTCTTTCTCCTGTGGCACTGGGCATTTTGTGTTTCCCTTTGGAGAATATCAGTTTTTCATTTCCTACAAGCCCTGCCTGCTGCTGTTTCTCCACTCCCAACTCTCACGGTTCCGTGAAAACTTCTACTGAGGCATTTCCTACTTTGTCAGCCTTCTCTTGAAACTTTTCCTTTCTTCTCCAGTAAGGCTGGGCCTACAGCCCTGTGGCTGAGCTGTTCAGTTACAGGTCGTCATCCTTGGCTTCTCTAGCATTGTCTGGATGTTTCTTTTAAAGACGTTGCTGAATTTTATTTGTTCTTTGGTCAGTTCAGAAATGCGTTAAATATGTAGGTATGACAGATTTACATTTCAGGTTCAGGAGAGACCATATTCTAGTATTTCCTTAGTGAGTGTCAAGATGTCAGAAGAGTTTCAGTGTGTTTCTTGTTTTACCACATGAGGGCTGTTTTCTAAATTGGTTTGACTAGACTGTAGAAATGGGCTGATATTGCTGGAACATTTGGTAGGAAGATGGAAGAAAAGAGAACTAACTTCATGAACCTGCTTTGGTTTCCTTTTCACTGTTGTGTTGCTGCATCTGGGTCATGTTTTCTCTTTTTCCCCTTGACATATACCAACTTCCCTTCGCCTTTCCTCTGTGTGTGTTCCTACATCCTTGGACTGTTCCCTGTTGATGTGGCACCTCTCACCTGTTTAGGAGGGCATTGGGAATGGGAGCAGTAAATGTTGAAACTCCAGAGTTGGGAATGTTTCTGTTGCTTACCTCAGATGTGTGTTTTTACTCCCTGGTTGTCACCGCCACTAGAATCCTGCACTGATAAGTCGAAGCTGAGAGGCCCCTTGCCCTCTTCTGGCCCAAGCAGTGAAGTCAGCACACCCAGCTCTCTGTACATGGAGTATGGTAAGTGAGCACAAGGAAGGCCAGGACTGCACTTGTGAATTCTCTCTGTTCTCCCTTTGTGCCTGCTAAGCTCTGAGCTGTGTGGCTCATGGCAGCTCTGTGGAGGGTCCAGTCTCACCCTCCCTTTCATAATTTTCAACCCCTGTGCTAGAAATCACACTGCCCTGCTGTTTCTCTTGCTCTTCTCTGACTTAAGGGTCCCACCCTCTCTTATGCTTGGGCACTGTCACCACAAATGCCTGTTGATCCAGATGGAATGGCTTTCTGACTGGGTGAGAGGGACCTGGAAAAGAGGCCTTTTAGTGTCTGGGCTTAATTACCAGAAGATAAGCTCCACATGGAAATCATCCACAGGAGGAAGCCATTTGTTTCCTTGTCTGACTGTCATCACTGGTTTTTGTTGTCTTTTTTGTGGGGTAGGAGGGTGAGTATGTCATCTTTAAATTTACATGGTAAAAGGATCATTTCCTGGCTCTTCCCTTTTATTCTACCATCCTTTCACCAAGAGGCTTAGCGCCCTGGGATTCTGAGATTCAGAGAAATCCCTTTAAAAGGTAGATACCTTCTTTCCAACCTGTTACCTGGGAAGACTTGCGAACATCTTTAATGGTAAAATCATCAGACTTCTCGAAGAAGTTTGGCTATTACAGATTTACTTTTGAAGTCAGAGCTTTTTACGTCCATATTCCACTTTCCTACAGAGGGTGGTCAGTACCTGTGCTCAGGGGAAGGTATGTTCCGAAGACCATCAGAAGGACAGTCCCTCATCAGCTATCTATCTGAGCAAGACTTTGGCAGCTGTGCAGACCTGGAAAAGGTGAAGAATCTCAGGGGTTACTGAAGAGCCCATGTGTTGAGATATCTGGCCTGAGGGGCTATGGTGTCCTTTGTTCTAAAGAGGTCTTGGGTATATAGTGGAAACATGAGCATAGACTCCAGTAAAGAAAAGTTTACAGTTAAGATAAGCTGAATAAGCTCCATCTCTGGAGAGCTCTTCAGAGAGCATATGATCTTCATTGAGTCCGAAAATATTATTGATTTTGTCATGGAAGCTACCTTGGTCAGAGAAGCAATTGAATTTTAGCCACATGATTGTTGTTTCTTTGACCCTGGAGCCTTAGGTAAAAAGCATTACCACAATCACATTCTGTATTTTGTTCTAAGGCTCTCGGGTATGTAGTAAATAATGTCCCTGTAGCATTTTGTGGCTTACAAAGCACTTTATCTTGAAACATCACATTCACTTTAATACTTGGTATGTAGGTGTATGGCTTCAGGAAAGACCCTGATATGAAATTCTGGACTTTCTTCTCTGTCATGAATATGGGACAGAAAGACCAGCCATGGCCAAGTATGAGAGCAAAGAGAATGTAGAACAGGTTTTCAGGGCCTCAGCTTTCCATATAGTAGAAGCTTGTATTTCCTCTGGGTGTTTGAATAAAAGCAGTGTGTGTCTTGGAAGCTCTAGTTTGCAACATTATAATCAGTAAGGCATTCGCTGTGCCCCAGTCCCTTGCTAAACAACTTCTTTGGTGGTCTCCTTCCCCCAGGAGAATGCCCATTTCAGCATCTCAGAGTCCTTGATTGCTGCCATTGAGCTACTGAAGTGCAACATGATGAGCCAGTACCTAGAAGAAGAGGAAGAGGAGGAGGAAGACAGTGATAGAGAGATCCAGGAACTGAAGCAGAAGATCCGCCTTCGTCGCCAGCAGATCCGCACCAAAAATCTGTTCCCTGCGTACCAGGAGACTGAGCATGGGAGTGAGTGAGGCTGTGGACACCTTCCTGCCTCTTCGCTGTGAACACTTATCCTGCTTCAGGATAAGACTGGTGCCTTGTGGGCTCTCTTTTTTGTCTTAATTTAAGATATTATAACCAAGTCAAGGTTTTCTCTGCTGTGAGAAAGATTTTCTGTTGTTCCAATTTTTTTCCCTACCAGACCTCAGTCCTACATTTCATCCATTTCCTACCTCAGAAAACATCTTCCAAAAAATAGGTTACTGATATGAGGAGAACTAAGGCCACTGGTTCCAGATTCACCAGATAGGGAGTGTACCTTCAATTTACATGCCACTTTCTAAATTTCATGAGTAAAATGGGGATCAACAAGAGCTAGTTCCCACTTCCCTGGTGTCACTCCCAACCAAGGTTCTATTTACTTCTCTGTTGAAGTCATACCAGGTCCCTTTCATTGTGACCCTAGAAGGAGAGGCCTCTTTCTGTCCTGTTTACTGCTTTTTTTTTTTTTTTTAACACAACAGGCTTTAGGGTCACTTCCAGCAGCTCCCAGTTCAGTTCACGTGATTCAGCACAATTCTCTGACCCTGGCTCTGCTGATGAGGCAGATGCTTTTGAAATCCAAGGTAAGAAGTGATGCTTTGTTTCAAGGGAACTTTCATTACCTGTTTCTTTTCATGTGGAAATAGAGGCTGAGAAACTTGCCCTAAGTTTGGGATCTTCAATATGGTCCATTTTGGAATCTTGGTTATTATATGGGACAGCCTCTCAAACAAACAAAACCCTTAAAAAACAAACCCCTTTAAAATTTAAGCAGAAAAGAACACTGAAAGGAAGTGTTCCACTGAGGTCTAATAATTTACTAGAGCAATTCACAGAACTCAGGACAGCTTATGATTACAGTGTTAAAAAACAAAATTCAACCAAGTAAATCTGAAGATCTAATTGGCTTTAGTAAGTGATTCATGAATCAGGCAGCATCCCGTCTAACAAGTAGAGAAGTACTCCAAGGTGTACCAAATGGAAGGTTTTTATAGACAGGAGGGTGGAGCAAAAAATTATTAGGAAAAGAAAAGATTAAGTATTATTTCAGGTTAGGTTACCTTCCCTTAGGAGGTAGAGTAGAGGGTCTTATGCAGGTTACCTCAGGCGTGATTAGGAAATTCCAGACTGTTTGGTTTAAAATACCACTTCTGGGAGAGGCAGAAACTGCAATTAGTTTGGGCCTTAAGCCCCAATTTGGTGACTTGGTTTACAAGTGACCCTGTGTTGGGCCTGTGTTTTTCTTCTTAACAACAGTTTATTATAAGGGATACAAACAAACAGCCACATGTAGAGGCACAAGGCCCCAAAGTTTCCTCTGTCTATGTGGAATCACGGTGTTCCACTCTCCCATTACATTGCCTATGTTCACCAACCAGGAAGCTCTCCCAAATCTCATCACTGCAAGTATTTTATCAAGGTTTCAGTAGGTAGGCATGAGTGATTAAGTCATTGGCCATTGGTGATTAGCTCAATCTCCAATCCCTTTCTTCTCCTCAGAGATTGGGGGTGGGCCTAATCCTCTAATCAGGTGGTGGTTTTTCTTCTGGCAAAACCAGCCTCATCTTGAAGCTGTCTGGGTGCCTCCTCAAGAATCTCACCTCATTAGCATATGCTCAGATATAATGGAAAGGACTAATTATGAGTAACAAAAGACATTCCTATCACTCAGGAAATTCCGAAGATTTTATGAGCCCTGTGCCAGGAACTGGGCAAAGACCAAATAGATACATATATTTTTTATTGTAACAATTATGATTGACTCCATTTCCAATGGAAAAGAAAATAAAAGGGTTCTCCCCTCTGTCTTGGGACCGCCAGTCAGAATTTCATGAGTATAAAACTAAGATAAATTCAAAACACGCCAGTTCGATGGGTTTGGAGCAGTGGAAAGCAAGGAGCAGGGGAAGCTGTTCAGCCTGGAAAGAGCCAGATTTGAAACAGACCTCCTGGGGTAGCTTGAAGTACTCTTCTGTTGGACACTGTTGCTGCATTTGTGGCCCCAGGAGAGTTTTTTAATCACTAACTCTCTTGTCAGTTCAGAACAGAAATCTTTTAGGGACAAGACTTTAGGACAGGGTTTCTCATCTCCTAGGCCAGGTGATTCTTCATCGTGATAGACCTGTACGTTAGAGAAACTTGAGCATCATTCCTGGTCTCTACCCATTAGATGCCAGTTATATTACCACTGTCTTCCCCAATTGTGACAATCAAAAATGTCTCCAGCCATCACCAAATATCTGCACAGGGTACAGATCTCCACTGGTTGAGAACCACTGCCTTAAGAGATCTTTAAGGGTAGGTGGGTTTGGGGAAGGAGCAATAACTATCTCCCAAGCTGTAGTGAGTACCTACCTGTGAATGTAAGTTCTTCAAAGCAGTTTCATATTTTGGAGTAAAGTCAAGTCCTGAATCCAGGAACATGTGTATAGAACCATCATTTCATTGATTTACGTCCTGTCTGAATACTGAAGGGCCCACTTTTATAATTGTTATTATACAGATGGTAGTGAAGGATCTAACCTGACTCATATGTCAAAGAATGGACTCTCAGTGTTAATGGCCTTGATGTTTTCAGGTAGTTTGTATTGGAAGCATGGGTGCTGCTACATGCATTTGTGTGAATGTTTGCACCAGCTTTTGTACCTGCTATGTGTAACACTTGTCAAGATTATGAGAACCACAAGGTCTAGAGAACTAGCTGGGAACAAATCAGATGTAAGCCAGCCAGGAACAATTCAGATGTTCATTTTCTCCTTCCTCACCTGACCCCAGCTATCCTCCTCACTGAGATTGTCCTTGTTGATCTACCAAAAGTAGAACTTGCAGATTAGGTGGTCATTGTGGCTGATGGAGGTAGTAGACAGGTTAGAAAGGAATGGCCAGGATGAGAAATTTTAGTTCAAACTTGAACCAGTGCTACCACCACACATTCAGACAGCAGAAGTCAGATAGAACAGTATGAAGCTTAATGTCTCTATAGTTTTGAATCGGCAGTTTTTACCTTCTTTTCTAGGTACTTGTGTACAATTAAGATTCACTGCTGCAAATGTTTGGCCTCACTAATTGCTTTGTGATCTAAACCAGTAGGCTTTCTGTAGGAGAGGTTTTTTGAAAGAAAGTAGCAGTTTTCTACTCTAAGGGTTTTGAAATACACAATGACAAAACTCAGGACTTTTTATTAAACAGTTAATTTTAACTGTTAACACTGTCAACCACTAGAATTTGAAATCATTATATAAGATTAGATCAAGATAGAAAGAAATAAAAGTAATTAGGTACCTTTTCTGTATTCCTGAACTATTTTAATTTATTCTAACATAGTCTTCCCTTGCTTGAGAAGTAATTATCTAAGTCACTTTTTAACTGCTTTAAAACATATTTACAAGCATAATTCTTTGCTGGTGCATTTATTGACTATTAGCCAGCCCTCCATCAGAGCATATTCAGTCTACTTTAACCATAAGACATACCTTTATTTGGTCTTCCTAGCATCATTTCTTCCCCATTTTGGGAACTTCAAGGCTTTCTTTAATGTACCAAGGATATGAAACATTTTTCAACTAAAAATGACTTTTTCTCATGATCCACAGTCCTGACACATTGTGGGGGCTGCAGGGAAGCAATCCAAACAAGCCTCTCTCATAAGTAGTGACTTGTTTCACCTTTCTACACACAGATTCCCAATTGTGGAAGTATAATTTACAGTTTATCTTTCTCTACTCTAGATTTCTTTATTGCTTTCTGATCTTTTTTTTTTTTAACTGTCTCTGGTCTTTCATCAAGTTTATTACTGGTACACAAATTCTTTCTAAAGGAAATCATTATACATCTCCGTAGCAATCTTCTTGATCATGTCCACTGGTTTACAGATGTGTTTCTTTTTGATCGCCTTTACTTATGCCATTGAAGAGTATCTTGAGATACTGTTAGAGGAAGGTCATCAGAATCCATAACACCCTTGGAAAAATTAAAGTGCTTATGCATCATATTATGGTCATCATCTTTGATAAATTCTTTTCCCTGCATATTGTAATACTCTGCTTAGTTAAATCGCTTTTCTTAGATCCCAAGTCACTGAGTAGGCTATGTGGAGCAGAAGTGTTTATGAAAGAAATTGATTTCAAAGTTGCTTCCTCTTAGCAGTAAAGTGGATATAAATCTTGTGATCATAGAGAGCTTACTCATAGAAAGCTTTTTGTTCATCAACACTGTCAATTATTTTTAAAGGAGTGCTGGGCTTTTATTAAAATAGAAATACAGTTTATCTACCAAACATCTATTACTCTTATCTATCTATCTATCTATCTATCTATCTATCTATCTATCTATCTATTTATTTTGTTATCATTAATCTACAGTTACATGAAGAACATTATGTTTACTAGGCTCCTCCTTCACCAAGTCCCCCCGACACACCCATTATAGTCTCTGTCCATCAGCGTAGTAAGATGCTGTAGAGTCACTACTTGTCTTGCTCTGTATTGCCCAGCTCTCCCCATGCCCCCCACAACATTATACATGCTAATCGTAATGCTCCCTTTCTTTTTCCCCCCTTATCCCTTCCCCAACTCATCCTCCCCAGTCCCTTTCCCTTTGGTAACTGTTAGTCCATTCTTGGGTTCTGTGAGTCTGCTGCTGTTTTGCTCCTTCAGTTTTTGCTTTGTTCTTATGCTCCACAGATGAGTGAAATCATTTGGTACTTGTCTTTCTCCGCCTGGCTTATTTCACTGAGCATAATACCCTCTAGCTCTATCCATGTTGTTGCAAATTGTAGGATTTGTTTTCTCCTTATGGCTGAATAATATTCCATTGTGTATATGTACCACATCTTTATCCATTCATCTACTGATGGACACTTAGGTTGTTTCCATTTCTTGGCTACTGTAAATAGTGCTGCGATAAACATAGGGATGCATCTGTCTTTTTCAAACTGGGCTGCTGCATTCTTAGGGTAAATTCCTAGGAGTGGAATTCCTGGGTCAAATGGTATTTCTATTTTGAGCATTTTGAGGAACCTCCATACTGCTTTCCACAATGGTTGAACTAGTTTACATTTCCCACCAGCCGTGTAGGAGGGTTCCCCTTTCTCCACATCCTTGCCAACATTTGTTGTTTGTCTTTTGGATGTTGGCCATCCTAACTGGTGTGAGGTGATATCTCATTGTGGTTTTAATTTGTGTTTCTCTGATGATTAGAAATGTGGAGCATCTTTTCATGTACCTGTTGGCCATCTGAATTTCTTCTTTGGAGAAGCCTCTTTTAATCTCCTCAGCCCATTTTTTAATTGGATTATTTGCTTTTTGTTTGTTGAGGTGCGTGAGCTCTTTATATAATTTGGATGTCAACCCCTTATCAGATATGTCATTTATGAATATATTCTCCCATACTGTAGGATGTCTTTTTGTTCTACTGATGTTGTCCTTTGCTGTACAGAAGGTTTTCAGCTTGATATAGTCCCACTTGTTCATTTTTGCTTTTGTTTCCCTTGCCTGGGGAGATATATTCATGACGAAGTTGCTCATGTTTATGTCCAAGAGATTTTTGCCTATATTTTTTTCTAAGAGTTTTATGGTTTCATGAC